TGTTAACAAAGTTGTACAGTCTATTATTATTCAGCAAAACTACAAATATCATCATATGGTATAGGAAAACACTATTTTTGTTTATCTTTTATATTTTTCAAATCTCAAAACTGGAGACTTCAATTTTCCAAATGGCTACCTAGTTATCATCAAAAATGCTAATCATAATGACATATGTTCTTATTTCTAAATAAAGTAAATCTTCTGACAAGAAGTTATTTAAAGAAAAAAATGTCTTGCTTTTTGAAACAATTGTTTACTTATCAAATATGTTATCTTCAGTTTGGCTAATTTCTGTCTCCAGAAAAAATAAAGTACACTTCTATAGATTGTGGCATTTTTAGGGTCTATTAATTTAATCACTTTTTGTTCTGTGTATTATATTATCAAAACTGCAGGACTGGCATGATGCATATTCTTGGTATACATTTGCAAAGAATATTTCACTCAACCCAGGCCTTTTAGATAAAGTTTATAATTGCAGGGACTTGAATGAATTAGACTCTTTAAAGCCTTTGATTAAAAATGAATTTTAACATGTTTAAGAACAAAACTAAGAATATTTTTGAAAATAAAATAAAAACCTATGATGAAAACAGTAAACTCAAACAGTCAGGGATATAACTCTATAGGGTTATTACAGAAAAATAACATACATTTGTTATTGTGGACTAAAAAATCAAAGAACTGTGATAACATATGTATGTTACATGTTTCAAAGGGACAATATACATCATTAGTTTAGTTAAAATGTATAAAAGTTCTATTGATATTACTTTTGTCTATATGTATACTTAACTATTGAAAGATATAACAGTTCATAGTTTGCCAATTTTGCATAGTACACCTATATGTTATTACAGAAAAAATATGCCTGTAATAACTAAAGGGTGTTATCACAGCTTCTCTATATCACTTCAAAGCATTTGCTCAGACATACATCATGCTTAATTACAATGTATTTTAATTTATTGTAAGAAATAATGACCAGAGCATGTAATGAGGTTCTGCGCAAGTTTCTCGGTAATTCCCAAGTGTCTTATATAATAAGTTACATTCCTTTAATAACTGAGCCTTGTTATCACAGCTAAGTTTATCCCTTAATAGCCTCGTCTCATTGATTTACCATGGTTAATCAAAAATGAATTAATTTAATTAAAAAATTAGTTATCAAGGCTATGCATTTAGTTTCTGCGCAAAGTCTCAAGAGTTCCCTAGAGCCCATTATAAATGAAATAATTTTACAAATAACAAACATATGTTATTAAAGATTTAGAAAATTTAAGGAATAAAGAGTAGACAACTCATGAAAGTATCTGTAATAACACACACAAGTTATTTTCTGTAACAACCCTATAGAGTTATATCTTTGACTGTCAAATGTAAGAATTAGTGGTCATAATTTAGAAATAGAAATTAGTGGATAAAATGTCTAGAAAGGATAGAATATGTAAACTGTGCCTCTTGCTGGAAGATGAAGAACACTTCCTCCTTGATTGTAAAATTAACATAATAACTTAGAGACAATCTATTTGAAAATTGTTTACCTTCTCATGATAATGTCTCTTAACCAGGTTATGAATAAAATCTTACATCTTATAAAATCTTAACAAAGAACAAAAAGTAAAAGAAATGCTAAACCTCTATAACATGGAACATGTTTGAAATATTGGCTCCATTATCAAATAGTCATTAGAACTGAGGGCAGAAACATAATATTTTTTTCCATGTGTTTTGATTTCTTATAGAATTGTTATTTCTTTGCATTATATTGTTCGGTTTTGTATTATTTTGTCACAAACTAATTATTATATGTTTATATGACAAAAATATTATCAATTTTTGCTGTAATGATTATTCTGAACATATTTATTAAATAGAGAAATAATGAATTACCTAAATTTTATTTAGAATAAGTCCTAAAGATAATCTTAAACATTTGTTAAACAATGTTGAATGCAGATCAGTCTCTCAAAGTATAAACAATTTTGATTTTAGAAAATTAATCTAAGAAGCACCTTTTCAATAGAAAAAGGCAGATCTGTTGTTTGCATTATATCAAAAGATGATAGACTGATATTCATTTATTCTTCACTTGCCAAAAAAATACATGTAAAAAATTACTTACATTGATAGAATTATTTAAAAGGTATAACACCAAAAAAAAAACAGTCATGACAATTTTTTCAATATTTTTTTATCAAGCAATATGTTCAACTAGTTTTATTATTTCATTTTATTTTTGAATTTTCATTTCATAATCACATTAACTAAATTTGACAAACACATATATTTTACCTGAGACACTTTACCTGTAAGTTATATAATTTTAACACTTCAATGCAGTCATGATTTCCCTTTATCCTTGTCTAGTTTTTGATTAATACATTGTGTATTAATTAAGCAACAGGGGGTATAATGATGGACATATAGGGCCATCATGGTGAACATTATTTTTAGGGCCACCATCAATAAGATAATGTCACAGGTAGTACTGTACATTTAAGATATTTATAAACATATTTTAATTTACAAATAAGTTTACTTGTTTGAAGGTCTTATAATCAGTCAAGGGACTTACTTAAATGAGTGATTTTCTAAATCACTGATTCAAGTAACATTATGTCCATAAAGGTTGGAAGTAAGAGATGTCTTTCTTTAATAATCACCTATTTAAGTAGTACAAATTAATCACTAGACTAAGTGATTTAATTTTATTGTAGCTTTAAATATAGAATACTATATATATTGATCCAGGGACTAATTATGTTGCTGAAATTATCAGAACCAACATCTGTGTTGATAGGATAACCAGGTCATGTCAGGTGATGACCTTGTACTAAATCTAGGATAATGACATAAAAATCACTTGTTTAAGTATCATACCTCAATTTCCTTCCAAAAAATCACTTCTTTAAGTATCATTATTTTAATAACCCCCACTAATTTCTACCCCCCCGAACAGTGAAATTTTGATCGCGAACAGTAGAATTTTATTACATAATCTATAAGATGAAACCTTGAATTTTACAGGAAAAATACTCCCACTGCTGGGAAAAATCTGTTAAGAAAGTATCAGTTCATTATGTAAAGCCATTTTTATAGCATTTTTTCAACTAAAATAGAATTTGCAGCTAAATGATTGCATCAAAGGCATAAACCTTGCTGCTTAAAAGAAGCAAAAAGTTCATTTTTTTCAATTTTACTAATGAAAAGATATTATCTAAACCTATGTGTTTAAAAATTTGGTAAAACTACAAAATCACAATTTGTGACAAAACTTCGAATTTGCTACTTAAATAAGTGATTTAAAAATCACTTATTTCAATAAGTCCCCTGATTGATAATACAAGTGTATACTTTTGAGAAAGTATTATTGTAGCAACTCTGAGACAAGCATGACAAGTGTACATGAAGACACATTAGGCAAATATTAATGGAAAAAGCCTTTCTCAATAATTCTCAAAATCTATTAAATCACCCTTCTGTCTAGATTGGTCAAACTGTTAACATAAAGCCAAAGAATTCATTTTTTTTCAAATATATAACTAATATTAACAATTAACATCTACAAGTAAGAAAAAATACTTTTAAATTATTTATATGTACATCACTAATTAATAAGTAATTATTCAGATTAGAACACAGATTTGTTTATATAACAATAATCAGCCTTTTCATTTCTATAAGTGTTAATGACATGACCCTGTATGGGGTTAATTTAGCAATATGATTGCATAGCATTTTAAATTTACGATTCACTTAAACACTGCAATAAAATGAAAATTTTTCAAAGTTTTGATTATTGAAACAATGCTTGGAAATAAACAAGGTATCCTTAAATGTATCTTGTATTCTGCCTACATAGAATAAGTGGAGAAGAGAATGAAATTGAATTTTCAATCTTCTAGAAATGACTCTCAATGGTTATCTGTATAAAAAGTATATATTTAGCTACAATACTGTTGAACTACAACAAGACTTTACTATTTTAGGTTGAAATAAGCTTAAAAAATCATATTGCCCAGTATTACCCGGTTCTGGGAGTATTGCCCAGCCCCGGAAAACCCAGGTTTTCCCGGGCGGGTAATACTTTGCCAACCCTGGAGTTGTCATGGATTCTCTAACTGGTACCTTTCCTAAAGTAAAACTTTTAACACAAGGTATCCTCGTCTCATGGATTTTCATACAATTAAGAATGCATTGTGACCTCACAATTTCCATTGAAAAAGCATGCTTAGTAAAAATTCATATGACGTACAAAAGCATAATCTGACCATACATGTAGACAAGTCACAATTTGGCCTTGTCAGTAAGACGGTTTTTTGAAGCCCTGGGGCCAAATAAAAAATATGTTTATTTCACCTCCCCTACCCGGGTCAAAAAATTATTTTCCACAATGAAATCGAAATTATTTTTATTCCCGAAAATAATTTGTTTCCATTTTTGAAAAGTGCTTGAAAGCAAAAGGATTGATAATCTAAATAAACACACTCAAATTGAGCACAAACAACTGATAAGTGGCCCCCACTGGACAAGTCAAACCATTCATGTGACCATGCTACATGTACATGTATGACATCCAGTTAAAGAAAAAAAGAACCTGTCTTCCTGGTCTGTTTACAAAGGGTAGACCCGGGGGAGGGGAAACAGACATTCTTTTAAATGTGGCCTGGTTTTAAACATGTTAAACAAGGCCTATAGGGGTTTACTAAACAGTTTACCATGTTTACTAGCAAGCTAATTGAGGGCACTTTTAAACATGTACAATGTATGTAGGCAAAGGAAAGCACTGAACATTACTCATACACATGTAAGCATAAATCAGTCAATGCAAGTTTGGATACATTATCTTTAATGTTTTGTACATCATGTACATGTACATGGCTATTCTTTACCAATTTTGAATGGGTCTGTTTCAAACAGTTTGTCAGAATTATATGGTCAATATTATGGCATGTAAAAGTATTATATCTGTTTATCTAAATACACTTTGGTAGATAAAGACAACATATACAGATGTTTCAGCAGAAGTATTGTATGATGTACTCCATGATCCAGAGTATAGAAAAGTATGGGACCATTCTATGGTGGAGGGCTATGAGATTTGTTGTATAAACCCAAACAACGATATTGGTTATTATTCAAGTAAGTGAATATCTCAGAACAAAGCATAAACATGATAAATCAGGCCACTGTGCATTGGTTATCTCTTTTCAGGCCAGTTCCTTTTTATACCTTACTGTAGGAACTTGTATGAGTTTTGCTTAATTGTTTTAACCCTGGACACTAAACCACAAGTGCTTTTAAAAATCTTCAACATTTGGTCACTGGTTGATATATAGAAGTGAGAAGTAAAAAGTACAGGTTCCAGCCCTGGTTGGAGAGGAAGTACATATATAGAACAACAATGTAGAATCAGATCTACTAAAACATTGCCTAGGCACTTTATATACATGTAGTGATTTCATTGGCAATCTTACCACTTCTACCACCTTATATATATACGTATATGTTTATAGATATTTATTAATTTTATACATGTTTTATGAATCAAAATTGAAGGAAGAAACTATCATTGACTATCACATCTCTTTTTTCATTTTTTTTTCTGGCAGGATGCAGGACATACAGGAAGCAGACATATTTTTTTTTTGGTGCAGAATTTTTTTTGTGATTTCAAGAATTTGATATGGTGGTTCTACAGTAAACTTAAATCAGGATACAATATGACCATCAGATAATCTACAATGTATTGAAATGTCATTATAAATTGTAAAAGATTGCTCTAAAATCATGATAGTATTATTATATAGATATAGGAAGATGTGGTATGAGACAACTCTCCATCCAAGTTACAATTTATAAAAGTAAACCATTATAGGTCAAGGTACGGCCTTCAACACGGAGCATTGTACTTTTATAGCAAGGCCATTTATATTTGGCTTCATTGACTTTACATCAATTTAATTTTTCTTTACTTTGGTAACAATCATTTTCTCAGCACCTTGATAAGTCTTGTAAGAGTCTTACAAAATGTCTTTCACATCCACTGAGTTTTTGTTTCATTTCAGTGAAATGCAGGCCATTTAAGAGTCGTGATTTTGTTACACAAAGGTCATGGTTAGATATGGGAGCACAGTACTGCATTATAAATCACTCAGTAAACCATCAGGTAAAAGATATAACTGAAATACATATTCCCTTACAGTAAAAATGTCGAAATTATCTTTCCTGGTAAACATTTCAGTGCATGTCTATTTTTTTTTTTTTAGTGATTTGAAAATTTCAGTAATCACTTGTTTAAGCGGTTTTTACATTCTGATGATTTTATAGCTATAAATATGTTACCATCATAAATTCTGAGTGTAACCCCAATTGCATCATAGGTCAGATGGAATATCCTGACTAAAAATAAACGTACTCTCACTGGTCCGGACATATACCCCTGTTTGCCCATATTCTCCCATTTCAATTTCCATCTGCGACATCGGTCACATGTGTACATTATTACAGATTCAACAGAGAAGTGGTTAGTCGTTTGTAAAGTTTTTTGAATAGCTTAATTGCTTTTCATATATTGTGCATATTATTGGAAATTTATTCCCTTGTTTAGTTTGAATTTCTAAACAAATTATTTGTGTTTTTTGACTAAAGTAAATTTTATTATGGACTTTAATTTGAATAGTCCTTACGTAAATATTCCTGGTTCGGACTATCTCCTGGATGGGTCACTGCCTTTAAGTCCCCCCAAACTACCAGTACATTGACCGGAGTTTCGACACGGTGTCTGGTAATGCTACCTATCCGACCCTTTCACAAGGTTCGGCCATGCATTTTGGGGGGGTACCTACATCAACTTCGGTGACTCATACTTTATCTAGGCCTGTTAATTCATCGGGTACTATTCATGCTATTGGTTCTGTCCCAGGTACAGCTATGGGCTTGAACTTGCCAGGTTCTAGACCCCCATTATCCTATTGTGGGTATATGCTTCCCAACTCGGGCACCCAACCTTTACCCTCATGGTCTCAGCCACCTTGGCCACAGTCTTACCCTTATTGTGGGTTTATGCCAAACCAACCTGGTTTTTGGCCTTATAGGGACAATTTCTATGGTCCCCCTTTTGGGGTAGCTACTGCTCCTCCTTTAGCTCCTGCTCCACCCGTAGCAGTATCTTTGACTCCTGCAGTAGATCCTTCTACCACCGTACCTGATTCTCAAGCTCAGTCTTCTAGCTCTTCTCCTGGTACTCAGGGTTCTGATCATGCATCATCTTTGGATGTTTTTCAGAAGTTACTTTTGGACTTTGGTGAGTCTTTCAAGGCTGAATTTAGTACTCTATCCAGTCGTATGTCTCTACTGGAGAATAGAGTTTCTTCTCATCAACCTTCCAGCTAAGTCTGTAGAATATGATGAGAGGGAGGATGACGAGCTTTCTGTTTCCCCTGGGAGTCATGAAAGGGCTTTCCTCACTGATGAGGATGTTGAAAGTTCTTCTTCTCCCAAGGTATCAAAGACGGCCCCTGACCCTTCTTCTAAGTCAGCTCAACAACCTCCCACCAAGGAGACTGAGGATCCTCCATCCTTGAAGGATCTTAGGGATAAGGTGTATACCTTGATGAGGGATGAAGCACATATCCCTTTTGCCTCTCCTACAAGCCGAAGAAACCTTCTTCAACTTTTGAAGCTTCCTGTGGTATTTCTCAGAATACTGTGACTTCTCACAATTCTTTTCCTGAATCTGGCCATATGGCATTTGCTTTACAATTTATGAATGAAGGTATCGCTAATTCTACTAGTGAAAAGGTTGCTAATAACAATATTTCTGGATTTGGAATGTCATCCTTTTCTGGTCAGGTTAAGTACAAGGATTTTGATATCTTTGATTCTTCACTTGGTAGACTTGTTCCCAGTTGTGAAAAATCTCTTTCATCTTTATTGGGAAAAAAGCCAGTAGATGGTCTTCGTCTCGCTCAACCTGTTTGGTCAAAGACTGAGAATCTCCTTCGTAGTGCTTCTCAAGTTCTTGGCACAGCCGAACATTTTCTAGCTGCAACCGGACACTTGCTTAACAGCGAAGATTTGGTTGTTCCAGCAGAACATTTTCTAGCTGCAACCGGACACTTGCTTAACAGCGAAGATTTGGTTGTTCCAGCAGAAGTACGATCCTTCTTACTTCAACTGGATAAAGCTCTAAGTTCATCTCAGTTGCTCTTAATGGGTTCTATTGCCAATTGCACCTTATCTAAAAGAGCAGAGTTTCTTGAAAACATTTCTGTTGCTGAGTCTTTGAAAGATTCTTTACTGAAATCTCTACTTACTGACAAGATGTTTGGTTTACCCTTACAGCGGGTTCAAGAGGAACTCAGCAAAAACCCTCCTCCAGTCAAAGTTAGTGTACAAGTTAACAATGGCAAGAGGTCGGTTAATGCTACATCTAGTTCTACTAGTACTTCTGCTTCAGGTGGTCCTCCTTCTTCTGCTAAGAAAAGGAAGAATAACTACGGCAAACCGCAGAACAAATCCCATAACTCTGGTAAAAGCTCAGGTAAGCCTTCTGGTGGTTTTAAGGTTCCCAAGAAACCTGGGTCTAGTACCTAGGTTCTTGCCCCATCGTACGTTATTGACAGCTTCCCCAGGGGAAAATTTACAACAAGTTCCTCAAAAATCAATACCAGTAGGGGGGAGGTTGAGTTTTTTCCTAAATCAGTGGAAGAAAATTACCTCAGACTGTTATGTGCTGTCAATAATTCGAGGGGGATTAACACTTCAGTTCAAGAACCCACCTCCTCTGTCTGCAGTTCCGATAAGTTTGTCTCATACTCAAGACCCAGTCAAGTATCAACTTCTATCAGTAGAAGTGGACACAATGTTACAAAAATCTGCAATAGAGGAGGTGTCGCTCTTAACTCTGTCTCCAGGATTTTATTCACATCTTTTTCTGGTTCCAAAGAAGACGGGAGGAATGAGGCCAGTCATAGACCTATCTTTTCTGAACAACTTTCTAATTGTTCCCCATTTCAAAATGGAAACCAACAGATCAATCAGGACTTTAATCCTTCCAGGAAATTGGACTACTTCTCTGGATCTTTCAGATGCTTATTTCCACATTCCCATTTCCCATACTTACAGGAAATACCTTTGCTTTGTTTGGAACAACAAAGTTTTCCAGTTCAAAGCTCTCCCTTTTGGCTTGTCTACAGCCCATTTAGCTTTTACCAAAATCATGCAGGCAGCTATAGCTCACCTACATTCCCTGTCTATTCAGATTCATTCCTACCTGGACGATTCCCTTCTCAAGGAATTTTGCCCAATCAAATTGAGGGTTCAGACAGATTTCGTCATCAATTGTTTTCTGTCCCTAGGCTTCCTAATCTCCTGGAAAAAGTCAGAGATAGTTCCTTCTCAAGACTTTGTTTTCCTGGGAGAACATTTCCTAACCAATCTAGGCCTAGTTCTACCACCAGAGGAAAAATTTACAAAACTATGTCAGAAAATACATTTATTCCTGACGGTTCAATCAGTTACAGCACGTCAATTCTTGCAACTTCTGGGTCTATTGAATTCTCTGGCAGATGTAATTCCACTAGGACGCCTTCACATTCGACCACTTCAGTTTTATCTGCACAAGTTATGGATTCCAGCTTCACAAGAATGGGAAGCATTGATTCCAATCACTCAGCCTTTATTTCCACATCTTCAATGGTGGTTAGTACGGGAAAATGTAATGAGGGGCCTATGTCTGTCCCCTCAAGTTCCCAGTCTAACATTATACACAGATTCCTCCACCCTCGGTTGGGGAGCATATCTGGAGGGGCTAACAATCTCGGGAGTCTGGAATCCAGATCTTTTGGAAGAGCATATCAATGTATTGGAAATGAAAGCAGTTCTGCTTGCACTGAATCATTTCCAACTGTCTCTAAAGAATCAGTCTGTCATTCTGGCCACGGACAACACAACAGTTGTAGCTTATCTCAAGAATCAGGGAGGAACTCATTCACCTTTTCTTTATCAGATAGCCAGAGACATTCTCCTTCTGTGTTTTCAACTCCAGGTTCATGTAGTGGTGAGACATATTGCGGGGCACCTCAATATTCTAGCCAACACTCTGTCCAGATCCCTTGCTCCAGAGTGGGAACTACTTCAAGTAGATTTCAAAGCTGTGACTCTTCATTGGGAGTCAACTCAAATAGATCTGTTTGCGACCAGTCTCAATCACAAACTTCCAACATTTGTGTCTCCGGTTCCAGATCCAAAATCTTTTGCGGTAGACGCAATAAGCCTGTCTTAGAAAGGAATGTACGGGTACGCATTCCCTCCTTTCAGGTTTCTCTCCCCAGTACTTCAGAAAATAGCAGGGGAAAATTGCAAGATCATAGTTATTGCTCCAGCATGGCCTAAACAGTCTTGGTTTCCAGACCTTCTGCGCCTATCATGTGCTTGTCCTCTAGTTCTACCTCTGAGACCAGACCTTCTGTCTCAAATCAAGGGCAAGGTTCCTTATCAAAATCCAGAAAAACTTCATCTACACGCCTAGCTTCTCTCAGGGTTAGCCTCAGAAAGAGAGGTTTTTCTGAAGGAGCAACCAAGCACCTCACAAAGCCTGTCAGAGACTCCACTAGCATTGTCTATGATACAAAGTGGTCAATCTTCTCAGATTGGTGTAGTGAGCTGGAAATTGATCCTTTCCAAGTCACTGTACAACAATTAGCAGACTTTCTAGTTTTTCTTTTTGAATCCAAAGGATTATGTCCCTTTACTATTAAGGGATATAGATCAGCCATTTCAAGAACTATTCATATTTCTGGTGGCCCAGATTTTGGAAACAATGAGCATATTTCTCTTTTGGTTTGTAGTTTTAGTCTTGAAAGACCAAGACAAAAAACTTTAGTTCCTAAGTGGGACCTTGGACTAGTTTTATCCTTTTTAAAACTTCCTCCTTTTGAACCAGCAGAAACAATAGATTTACGGTTTCTTTCCTATAAATGCTGTTTTTTTTAGCTTTGGCTTCTGGATGGAGAAGGAGTGAAATCCATACCTTCTCTATTTCTGATGCTTGCCTTCGATTTAACAGGGATAAATCTTCTGTTACTCTTATAACTGATCCTGCTTTTTTGGCAAAGAATCAGATTCCGGATAAGGGTGCAGAACCAGTCGTGATTCCTGCACTCC